TTGGGGACTCGTTAACGGAACAGGGTTACTTCTCCGGCTGGGCCTCGCGCCTTAGCGAGCGTTACGTGCGCCGCGCAGATGTGGTGAATCGCGGGCTAAGCGGCTACAACACACGCTGGATACTGGATATACTGAATGATGACGAGAGGCGTCAGCATCTTCTTCCCCCATACATCAACAAGCCGCTATTTGTGACTCTAATGCTTGGGTCCAATGATTGCGCTGGCTTGCCTCAACACGTGCCACTGGAGGAGTACAGGGTGAATCTGAAGGCAATTATTGGCCTTGTGCGCAAGCACGCGGCCCCTGTTGGCGGCATATTTCTCATGTCACCCCCACCCTTTGATGATGATGGACGGCAGCAGTGGCTGAGGAGTCAGGGCCGCGACCCTGACTCTTGTAAGCGCAGGTTTGAAGCCATGCGGCACTACCGTGATGTCGTTCTGCAGGTTGGGGCCGAAGAGAGCGCGGAACACGGGGATGTGTTTACGGTTGACCTGTACCTTGCCTTCCTGGGCGAGTGCGCCGGTACAGTGCCGTACACAAAGGGTCCGTGGTGTGAGAACTTTTTTGACGGCCTTCACTTCAACGTGGACGGTGGACGGATTATTTTTGAGGCGTTGTGGGGTGCCATTGCGAAGTCTGCGAGAGCCGACAAAATTCTGCCGGATGGTCTTCCGTACGTTCTGCCGCCATGGGAGGCGTTGACGAATAACAGCTTGTGAGGGGTGTAGGGTGTAGGGTGTTGTAGGGTGTGGGGGGTGAGGGGTGGTAATCACCGTGGACATCGGCCTTGAGCCGATGTGCGCCTCGCTGTGCCAGCGGATCTGTGAGAGCATGGGATTGGGGGTATACAGTAAAAGTGTTTTTGTTTTTGTTTTTAATTCTGCTGCGTGTGTTCGTATGCCTGTGCATGCAGGCACTCTCGCTGGTCGGAGGGGGGTCACCGCGTTTTACACGCTTGAGTGGTTTCTGTTCTACGTGGTTCCCATCCACCATCTGTTTGCCTGCTCGCTGGTGGTTCTAGAAGTGTGTGGGTGTGTGTGGGGTGGGCTCCTTGTTGCTGTGGCCGTGACTGAATGCATACGGCAATAGTAAAATCGTGTCTTGCTTATGCCCGTGAGCGAAGGGCGGAGCCAGTTTTGTGTCTAGCGGAGAAGTCCGAGTGCGGGCCGCTGAGCGAGAAGTGGGATGAGTTGCCGCTTTTTTTCCGCATTCTCGTGACGGCGCACCTTGTACAGAACGACGTGGTCAACGCGACGTGGGCGGTGCAGCGGTGGGGGAGGGTACCGGCGCGCGACGACCAGCAGGCGGGGGGCTATGGGCGCACGTTGCTGGAGAAGGTTACTTGTCATTGCGGTCGCTGCGCATATGGGGAGGCGTTCCGGGAAGTGTTGGGAGGCGTTGTCAGCGGGGCGGGGGACGACGTGGAGCACCTCAGGTGCTGGTTGCTTGACTACCTGGCGGCGCGGCACGTTCACCAGCGACGGACGTTTTACGGTGAGTCTGGCACCTTGGAGCAGCTTGCGGCGGGTCTTGGCGTGCCGGTTGCAGATTTGGAGGCGCGGCTGCAACGTGTTCGACAGGATGAACTACGGCGTATTGAGTGCGAGTCATCGGACGGCTCGTGGGAGCAGATACACGAGACGCTGTGCTGCATGGTGCAGGCCGGAAAGGCCGTTTAGTTTGGTGTGCCTGCTTGTGTGATGCTAAACCTCTTGCTTTTTTGTGTTTGAGGGTCGTGGTGGTAGTTGCTTTATCTCCTTGTTTTGTTGACGGCGCCTGTGCATGCATGCACGCGTGGGGGTTGTGTTGCCACTGCTCCCCGCGCTTGTGCCTCAGTGCCACTGTTTTTCTCCCTTCTCCGTTGGTGCGTGGTCAGTCAGTAGGAAGGGGAGAGGGAGCTGCAGTGTGGCCAGGTAGATGCTCCGCCGCGGCGCCGCCTTGTTGCTGGAGTCCCGACCGAAGACCGTCAGCGTCGAGCCGGGCTCGAATCGAGTGCCGGACGCCACCGTGGTGACGAAGGCAAAGGACATTTTTGCGGTGCCAGAGTTTCCTGGGAAGCGGGTGCTGCACAACTGGCGCTTTTTTATCAAGGCGGGGAAGGCGGCCACGGGCCCTCCGGTGGGGCAGGAGTTCTCGAAGCTTGGCCTAAAGGCCATGGACTTTGCAAAGGCCTTTAACGACCGCACAAAGCCGTACTTTAAGGACGACGTGGAGCTCATTGTGCGCATTCAGGTGTTTTTTGACAAGTCATACTTGTACGCCATTGAGCCGCCACCGACGGCCTGGTTCATCCTGCGCACCCTGCGGAAGAAGCGCCGTGAGACCGGCCCTGTGCCGCTGCGCGGGCACTACTGCGCCCTCATGACACTGGAGATGGCGTACGAGATTGCGAAGATGAAGCCGCGGAGTTGGGGAAGGCCGGAGTACCCGCTCATGGAGACGCGCGTGCGTCGTGTGGTGGGCCAGGCTCGTCGCATGGGTGTGTGCTTCATTGGCGTCGACACGCCGCAGAGTTCCCCGGTGAAGGGAATGACGGAGAAGCAGTACGCGGAGGAGAGCGAGAGGTACCGCGCGGTCCACATGAAGCAGTATGAGGCGTTGCGGCAGAAGCAGCTGGAGGAGGCGCCGCTGATTGAGCGCCTGCACCGGCCCAATTTTGCCCCGCTTACTGAGGTGCAGATTGAGGAGGGGCTGAGGGATCCCGGCCTCTTCCACGCCCTGTGGCAGGCGAGCCATCCAAAGAGCGTGTACCACAAGGATCTCAGGCAGCGTGAGATGGCTCGGCGATATCTGAACGCGAGGGGCTGGGTGAAGGACATGACGCTGGAGGAGATGCAGTTGGTGTTCATGAACTACCGTCTCCCTGCGGTTGAGCGGGGCCACCAGATGGACGAGGGAAGGATGGAGGGTCAGGTGTACTGGACGCGAGACGGAGCACAGTAGCGAACCAGACGTTCCGCTGTAAGGTGATTGCCCGGGGACGTCGTGTTTCTTGGGCGACGGAAGGCGCTGCGGCGTGGACGCCGCCTGTGGTGCTTTGTCGCTGGTTTGGCCGGTTCTGCGTTTGCTTTTTGTGCAGCACAGTGACTGCAGCCAATGGGATCGCCGCGGAGGGAGTTCCTCTGTCCTTCTGTGTTTCACTTTGCCTTGTGCCACCGCAGATGGAAGACACAACCCACGCAACAACAACAACAACAACTGAAAGGACGGATACCGACGTAGCAGTGGATATTGTGATGGAAAATTCTCTAAAGGCAGTATCTAGCTTTTGATGCGTGTTTTCGTTTGCATGTGTTTGTACGTGCGTGCATTTGTTTTATTGCGTCAAGGATTTCTTTTTCT